TTTTCTCGTATTAAATAACAAAAGATTAACAATTCCGTTTATATTAACGAAATAGTACAATTAATTTACTTTAAGTTAATTGGAGCCATCGTAAATGCGGCCAAGCTTTAATAAGGGGAAATTCTAGTGTTGAGTAAAAAAAATCGAAATATTTTTTTTATATTCTTGTAGTTTGGGGTAGTTCTTGAAAATGTGTATAGCTGACATATAAAGGGATACTGAAATTACTCGTCCATCTTGTAAGAGAAATTTTAAATTCTTTTTCCAAAGCGCATTTTTCAAATTGGGCGCATATTTTCTTGCAAACTGCTGGACCGATCGGCTTCCGCTTTTGTAGACATATAGTGTATTAGACTATTGTTCGACCCTTCAACTTTATGATATCTTTAAAATTACTATTTTTCCGGATAGGAAGTAAATATTTTTTTAGTAAAAATCGAAGTACTTTTAAGCGCTATCATTTTATCAACTTTTCTTCCTATGATTTATTAAAGAGCCAAATAGGAATCGTAAAGAATAAAACAAAAAAAAATATTTTTATTTCAGATTACGAGAATGGCATCAATCACTGCATCCAATAAAAACGATTTTTCGCGATATGATCTGCGTGTCTATTCATATCTTGTATCATATACAATAAAAAGCTTTGCAAACATTCGAGGAGTTACGTCAAATACGAATGAATGTGAATGCAAAACATTAGCTCTATAGGTTTAACCATTTTTATAAAATTAATTCTCAAAATTTATCTCAAAAACGAGTAATCGCACTAGAATATCTCCTTATTAATCATCTTGAATTAGCTTATTAATATATTTAAATAACATCATATGTTTATTTGATACATAATATATAATATATAGGAATATATAGGAAGATAAGAAGATAAGAAAGATTAGAGATCAGAGCTGAAGCGAATAACATATACTCAGAGAAAAACATAGCATTTATGGTAGCAACTATAAAGCCTATTCTACGATGCTCTTTGTTTCTTGTTTTTTTACCTTTTGCTTTTTTCTTCTTTGCAACTGTTTTATCGACAATTTCTTGCTACGTATTTTCTATTTCTTTCGAAGTTCATAATTTTTATCTCGAGCAATAAAACATAAAACAAAAAACCAAATAAGAAGCAAAAAAACAAGATGTAAAAAATAGCAAAAAGCAAGAAACATTTGGACTAAATTGAAAAAAAAGCACATAAATAAAATAGGCTTAAAAGTGACACATACTAGATTTATATGTAGAATTAATGTGCAAAGTTAAATAAACTGATGTGTGTATGTATATATATACACTATTGAATAAATTATTTTATAATTACAACTACAAAATAGTTTATTTAACTAAGTATACACACATTAATTTTACGTAAAAAATTTGCAATTATCACTTTTATAGTTGTCACCACTAATACTTGGTTCCATCAGTATAAAATTAGCTTTAGTCTCAGTTCTCAATTTACTCTTTATTTTTTCTAATCTTTAGGATTAGAAAAAAAAAGAAAACATTAAAGTTAAATCTACGTTAATTCAAAACGGATATAAAAGATATTTTTTTCTGATGCCTGTTTTCTACCAATGTAGAGAGATTAGCTTTAATCATCAACTTGCTCTTTATTTTTTTCCAATTCTTAGAACTAGAAAACGAAGAAGAGCTAGTAGAACCAAGGTTAAAATTAAACTACATAGGAAGGAGCAGAAGTGTGTTGAAAATAATTGCGCTAGCGACTCTGTCGGAGTCTTGAATGAATTGTCGCCGATCGGAGTTTGGTCGAAGTCGTCCCGAGTGCGTCATCCGTTCGGGTTCCGCGTTTCAGTCGCCTCGTACCCTCTGCCGCCCGCATGGATGTGCATCCGTCTCTCCGGTCTCTCGTTCCGAAAAGCGCCAGAGCTGAAACGAACGAGAACGGAGCAGAACGGAGTGGAGTGCAGTGGAGTAGCGCGTGAGCGGCCCGGCCTGGCGGCTGCCCGTATTCTCGACTCCCGTAAATCCTCCACAGGATCGCGCGCAAGCGGGAACGCGATTGGTCGCAACGGCCGCCCCACCCCGGCGGTCGCGTCGCCTACGCTCGTCATTCTCGTCAGTCGGACTTGGGCCACGGTCGAGTGTGTGTTGTATGTCGCGGATTTTCGTTCACGTACGCGAGCGTACGGATTTGAGAGGAAAAATATTGAGGTAAGAGGTAAACTGTCCCTCGTAAACCATTTCATCATCGCGACGTCCCGTCGATGATCGCAACGTCCGTCGAATCCACGTCCGTGAAACGGAGGGTGAGGGTGGAAAGGAGGTGGAACCACCGTCGCGCTTCTGTCACGCGAACCCACTGCCGGTGGGATCACACGCTCTTTTTCTCTCTCTCTCTCTCTCTCTCTCTCTCTCTCTCTCTCTCTCTCTCTCTCTCTCTCTCTC